TATTACTTAACCTATTATAGGTATAGGTTAAGTAATAATTATAATTACGAAACAATAAGATGCTTATCTTAACATACTAAGAAGGTTAGGTAAGGTCGGTGTTTTCTATGAAGCTTTTCAAGGTAAACTAGTATGTTTAGTATGTCACATATTTAATAAGTCAATATTGACTGTAAGAAAGTGCGAGAACGGGTTGTAGTGGTGGTGGTGATAGATCTCAACACGTACGCCTCAATTACGCATTACCATCTTGCACTGCAATATCATTGACGCATGCGTATGTTCACGATCAATATTGATGAACATACGCTCAATAACGACACGCTGACAACCGTATATAGAGAAATGATCCCTATGTACAAAATCTTAATATATAAATATCAATTTACTTCATAAAAATTTCAGCTTTTTAAGTGAAGAAACTAGCGTATAATAACAGGGCTGAAGACATGATGACAAGATCACACATATCAGAAGATGAATGGAGAAAACGACCACGTTTCAGTCCGTCTATGGACCGAATGCGTCGACTTGATAATGGACCGAAACGTCGTCGTTTCGTTTGCTGGTGTGTAGTTTGGTCATTATGTGCTTTTCTGACTATAAAAGCCGTGTAGTCCGAAAGGTTTTCGACTGTTTTAGAGCCAAAACGCACCGCTGTTTTGTCTCTGTCCGCTAGTACACTGGATGTGAAAGATGACTGTGTAAGTTCACAAGGAACTGACAGTAACGTGAAATATCTATGAAAAAAAAGCTTTTGAACTGGATGGGGATCGAACCTGCGTTAGGCAGGATCAGGGCCCGTCGTGGTCCAAAGATTTTTTTTTCTATATGAGATTATGGGTGTAGACTCTCAGCTTTAATTTAAAATTTGTATTCTTATCTGGTGAATTGTTGAGTAATTACTGCCTTTGTATTTTACAATGTCTCTCCCTTCATCTTGGAGAACCAAAAGGGAATCTGACACATTCAAATTTGAATCAAAAGTAATCGTCATATCAAGTAATTCAAATCATAAGTATTGAATTAAGTTGACCAGACCACACACTAGAAATTGAAGGGACGACGACGTTTCGGTCCGTCCTGGACCATACTTCAGCCACGTTATTGTGACTCATCGCCTGCATATTGAATTAAATCTATAGATCGCAAGAAATTAAAAGAAATGATTAACAAGGCAATTCGTCTCGTATAGTAATTCTGCCTGAAATTTTTTTTATTCAATTTCTTTTACTCGTTTCTAGTTTTATATTGACCCAATTGATCAATATTATAAATAAACAAAGTATAGAATACATGATCCGTCAGAATACATAATCGCATTTACGCAACCCATTTGTATTTCCTAATTCATTATCCTTGATCCAAATCAACATTTATATAATGACGTACTATTGTCAATAATGACATACTCCATCTACTGTAAAATTTTTGTTTCTTTTCTATATCCACTGAATCACTGGTTTTCAAAGGTCAATGGTTTGGTAGAAAAAAATTATTTCGTCAACGCGACATGTTTTTAACGAGTCATGAGATAGTCGTGTGGTGAAGCGGACCTGGGGTCATGTGGGGGTGTTCTAAGACCCCCCTTGGGTCATCTTGGGGTTGATCTAAGACCCCTGGGGGTCATCTGGGGTGCTCTAAGACGTCCTGGGGTCATCTGGGGAACTCTAAGACCCCTGGAGTCATCTGGGGGTGCTATAAGACCCCTGGAGGACAGCTTGGGGTGCTCTAAGACCCCTAGGGCCATCTGGGGGTGCTATAAGACCCCTGGGATCATCTGGGGGTGCTCTAAGACCCCTGGGGTCTCCTTTGGTATACTCTTGAGGTGCTATGGGAGCCCTTGGGCTGTGTCTTGGGGTCCACTAAGTCCCCAGGGTGGATCTTGGGGTCCACTAAGTCCCCAGAGTGGGTCTTGGGGTCCACTATGACCCCACCCCTGGGGGTCTCTTGGGGTTAAGTGTTGGATCTACATGTTTAACAGAGTTCGCTAATGAAACTGAATCATTTATTACGAAGCTCTTCGCTAATGACGTTGTGACTTTAATGAGAAGCGCCGCGGTGATTTCTTTTTTTGTTTATGCCGGTTCTAGCCGGATCCCAGCTGGTGCGTTCTCATATGGGGCGTTCTCATATGGTGCGTTCTCATATGGTGCGTTCTCATATGGGGCGTTCTCATATGGGGCGTTCTCATATGGGGCGTTCTCATATGGGGCGTTCTCAGCTGGTGCGTTCTCATATGGTGCGTTCTCATATGGTGCGTTCTCATATGGTGCGTTCTCATATGGGGCGTTCTCATATGGTGCGTTCTCATATGGTGCGTTCTCATATGGTGCGTTCTCATATGGTGCGTTCTCATATGGTGCGTTCTCATATGGTGCGTTCTCATATGGGGCGTTCTCATATGGGGCGTTCTCAGCTGGTGCGTTCTCATATGGTGCGTTCTCATATGGTGCGTTCTCATATGGGGCGTTCTCATATGGGGCGTTCTCATATGGGGCGTTCTCATATGGGGCGTTCTCATATGGGGCGTTCTCAGTTGGTGCGTTCTCATATGGTGCGTTCACATATGGGGCGTTCTCATATGGTGCGTTCTCATATGGGGCGTTCTCATATGGGGCGTTCTCATATGGTGCGTTCTCATATGGTGCGTTCTCATATGGTGCGTTCTCATATGGTGCGTTCTCATATGGTGCGTTCTCATATGGGGCGTTCTCAGCTGGTGCGTTCTCATATGGTGCGTTCTCATATGGGGCGTTCTCATATGGGGCGTTCTCATATGGGGCGTTCTCATATGGTGCGTTCTCATATGGTGCGTTCTCATATGGGGCGTTCTCATATGGTGCGTTCTCATATGGGGCGTTCTCATATGGTGCGTTCTCAGCTCGTGCGTTCTCATATGGTGCGTTCTCAGCTCGTGCGTTCTCATATGGTGCATTCTCAGCTGGTGCGTTCTCATATGGGGCGTTCTCATATGGTGCGTTCTCATATGGTGCGTTCTCATATGGTGCGTTCTCATATGGTGCGTTCTCATATGGTGCGTTCTCATATGGGGCGTTCTCAGCTGGTGCGTTCTCATATGGTGCGTTCTCATCTGGTGCGTTCTCATATGGGGCGTTCTCATATGGTGCGTTCTCAGCTGGGGCGTTCTCATATGGTGCGTTCTCAGCTGGTGCGTTCTCATATGGTGCGTTCTCATATGGTGCGTTCTCAGCTGGTGCGTTTTCATATGGTGCGTTCTCAGCTGGTGCGTTTTCATATGGTGCGTTCTCAGCTGGTGCGTTTTCATATGGTGCGTTCTCAGCTGGGGCGTTCTCATATGGTGCGTTCTCAGCTGGTGCGTTCTCATATGGTGCGTTCTCATATGGGGCGTTCTCATATGGTGCGTTCTCATATGGTGCGTTCTCATATGGTGCGTTCTCAGCTGGTGCGTTCTCATATGGTGCGTTCTCATATGGTGCGTTCTCAGCTGGTGCGTTTTCATATGGTGCGTTCTCATATGGTGCGTTCTCATATGGTGCGTTCTCATATGGTGCGTTCTCAGCTGGTGCGTTCTCATATGGTACGTTCTTGCGATATGGTATATCTTGAGGTTATCTTGAGATGATTTCGGGGCTTTTTAGTGTCCCCGCGGCCCGGTCCTCTACCAGGCCTCCACCCCCAGGAAGCAGCCCGTGACAGCTGACTAACACCCAGGTACCTATTTTACTGCTAGGTAACAGGGGCATAGGGTGAAAGAAACTCTGCCCATTGTTTCTCGCCGGCGCCTGGGATCGAACCCAAGACCACAGGATCACAAGTCCAGCGTGCTGTCCGCTCGGCCGACCGGCTCCGTCGTTTTTAAACGTCAAAATTGGAATTTGTTTCCCATTTACCCGAAGGGCTAAGAGCTAGGGGGACCCACGTGGAAACGTCAATTTTGCGTCGTTTGTAATTTGACTAAAACACCAGAATGTTGACGCTGTGGTCGACAGGGTCATGAAGGAGTCGGAAGGCCCAGCGGACAGCACGCTGTACACGTGATCCTGTGGTCCCGGGTTCGATCCCGGGCGATGGCGAGAAACGATGGGCAGAGTTTCTTTCACCCTATGCCCCCTTGTTGCCTAGCAGTAAATAGGTACCTGGGAGTTAGTCAGCTGTCACGGGCTGCTTCCTTGGAGGGTGGAGGCCTGGTCGAGGATCGGGGACACTAAAGCCCTGAAATCAACTCAAGATAACAAGATAACATATGAATGAGTTAGGGAACGCTATCTTCCCTTACTTTCACCCCCTTCCCCTCTATTCTATTCCCCCTTCCTCCCCTTATCCCCTCCCACTACCCTCTTCTCCCCCACTACACCCTCCTCTAACTACTCCCCCCCCTCGCTAATCACCACAAACTACTCCTCGTTAGTACTCCAGCATTACCTAAAGTTAGCAGTGATTTACAGCTTGTTAACCATCCTCGCTCCTAACCACTACTCAGGCGCAGCCATTAGACTCTGTGGCCCAACCACCACAGTCTCAACCATCTGTAGAAAACATATGCAGGAAAAAACCACAGTTAAATGGAACAAAACCTGACGAGGCAGTTGACAAGGCGAATGTAGCAAACTGTTGTTCAATTTTCAATGTTGTTTTGTCTTTAATTTTTAAGACACGAAGCATTCTGCTTTATATATATATATATATGTGTGTGTGTGTGTGTGTGTGTGTGTGTGTGTGTGTGTGTGTGTGTGTGTGTGTGTGTGTGTGTGTGTGTGTGTGTGTGTGCAAATCACGAAAATTAACACATGATGAAAAATGTGACAGTGTCAGACCACGGACGAAGAATTGAAACAGGAATTTCCTTAAGTACTTTCGTATATTAAAACATCTTCAGAAGGAATTATTGACGAAATCATTCCTTCTGATGTATTAATATACGAAAGTACATAAGGAAATTCTTGTTTCAATTCTTCCTCCGTGGTCTGACAATGTCATATATATATATATATATATATATATATATATATATATATATATATATATATATATATATATATATATATATATATATATATATAAGAAAAGACTCGTAGGAAGGAGTCCAAGAGAATAATCGGTCCCAGTGTGGAACCACCAGATCATTACTTATAAACGTAATTAATGTGACATAGGGGTTAATTACCCTAATTTGGCCGAGTTACGAAAGCAAGGAGAGTGTATATCACCTTGATGGCCTCGTAATGTTGACACTGTCTCTAACAACATTCTAATTACAGGTGAGTAATTGCGGAGAAATCCAAAGACGTGACGTCAGTGCTTGAGGAGTGAGCGCGTGCGCGCGCACGCCCCGTAACGTCGTGGGGAAGAAGGGGGAGGGGGGGGAAGGAGGGGGAGGGGGGGGAGGGGGGGGTGGGGGTGGAGGGTGGGGAGGGGGGAGGGGGGGGAGGGAAAGATGGAAAAAAAGGGGTGGAAAGAAAGGGTTAAGGGGGGAATATGTAGGAAAAGGGGGAGGGAATCGGTTTGGCTAGTCAGCTATACAAGTCACAGGTTCAAGGTTTGCAACAATCCTTGCAATACGGTTCTTGCAGAAGCCATACAAAAATCTTGCAGAATATGGCAGGGAACCGAAATCAGAATGTTGCAAAAATCTTGGAGAATAGTGCAAGCATCTTCCAGAATCTTGCAGGAATCGTCCAGGAATCTTGCAAAAAAAATCCAGCGCAAACATTGCAAACAATCTTGCAAGAACTTTGCAGAAATCTTTTAAATCAAAGACTGCCCAATAGTTCTGAACATTAACTGAATCTACAACTCTTATGTAATATAATCACTTATCTGTAGTACAGGAAGTATTCTATGTAACCATTGAACTCAACATAAAACTACCCATTAGTACATACTAAAAATTCCTATTAGCAGATGCTAAAAATACTCACTAGTACATGCTAAAAATATATATATTAGTGCATACTAAAAGTACCTATTAGTTCAGAGTCTCTTCCTTTGAAGAGATGGTGTATGGGTATTGAGAGAGAGAGAGAGAGAGAGAGAGAGGGGGGGGGTGGTTGAGTCATTAGACATGGTTGGTGTTTGAAGCTCAAATGAAGGGAGGGGGGAGGGTGGGAGGGGGGAGGGGGGCAAAGAGGATCACTCCTCCACCACTACAACCACTCCCCCGACAACCACTACTCTCTCGTACGCCACAACCATCACTTTCTCTACTTACCTACCAGCATCACTCCCCCCCCCCATCCCCCACAATCCCATCTCACTCTCACCCCCCCCCCCCCCCTCCTTCCATTACCCCTCAATCCTCCCCCTCAACTCCCATTGGGTCTCTCAACCCTCTTAACCCACCACTTTCCCTTCCTATTTACCACAACCCCCCCCCCCCCCACCCCCACCCACAACATCTCCCCTCCCCTAACAACCCCCCCCCCTCCACTCCTCCCTAACTACCCCCTTCCCAGTCTTCCCCCACTTCGTGCCGGGATTAATTAAGACAGACTTGATTCATTAAGACAGGAGCCAAGGACGGGGTACGGCAGCTTATCTGAGGTGGTTCAGAGTAGTAATGGTCGGTGTGCACGAGGCTCTCTCTCTCTCTCTCTCTCTCTCTCTCTCTTTCTCTCTCTCTCTCTCTCTCTCTCTCTCTCTCTCTCTCTCTCTCTCTCTCTCTCTCTCTCTCTCTCTCTCTCTCTCTCTCTCTCACTCTCTCTCTCTCTCAGCTGGGTTAGGAGCCACAAGGGTTCGTACTCACCTATAGCTACTTACTCCCTGTAGTGTACTCAATTAGAGGGGCTATCATAGATGTAATTTCCCTAAATGTACTCTTCTAGATGTATTCAACTACATGCACTCGTTTATAAATATACTCAGCAAGGGGTTACTCCCTGAAATGTACTCAATTTGCTGTACTCCCTTAGTTGTACTCGATGCTAGATGTACTCCTCCAGACGTGTTGGAGTACATCTACATGTACTCCAGTAGTTGTGTTTATTACTATTTTTGTAATCAGGTTGTACAGGAGCAGGCAACTGGTAACTCCTGTGAGTAGGCTGAGAGCTTTCTCTTCCCCATAGCTCGTGGTAAGCCTTACCCTAATAGTTCCCCTCTCCCTCCCCCCCTCCCCTCCCCCCTGGAACACGACACTCCAAACGGCTTACAGCCAGTTAACCCCCCCCCAATTACTGCTGGGTGAACAGGGGCGAACCGTTTAGGATTGGGTGCCCAGTCAATCCTCCCTAGACCAGGACTCTAATGTCCTTATGTTACACTTTTTTTGGGGGGAAATACTAATAAATTTTTATGCATTGATTTTTTTTTTGGGGGGGGCATTTTAATTATGTATTTTGTATAATGAATTTCTGTTTCATCATTACGTTTTATTTCTTTGTTTTTGCTTTTTTTGTCGTTTCTTTGTCGTTCTTTGTCGACTGGGATTTTTTTTTTGTGGAAAAAATCCTGATCCTTGTTTGCCTCCAATATGATTGATTGATTTTATTCAGGATCGTGGATAGGATTGAATGAATGATTGATGATGACCTACGTGGGTAGAGGGAGTGAGGGGAAAGTGTTGCTCCTATTATAAGCATTATTGACAAAAATATCTACAATTTGGCGTAATTGGGGAATTGAACTTGGTCTTATTGAAGTGAAGATGATGCTCATATTCACTGCCCCAGAAATAACAACAACAGCGACAATAATATCAATTCAAATAACTTCAATAACTTAGAAGCTTCAAATAACAACAGGCAGCCAAAAAAAAAAAAAACCATTCTTTCAAAAAAAAAAAAAAAAAGAGATGAAACAGGAAAGCGCTCGGATTATTTTCCTTTCATTTTCTCTACATGGATATATATATATATATATATATATATATATATATATATATATATATATATATATATATATATATATATATATATATATATATATATATATATATGATATATATATCAAATCAGCTGTTAGGACACCAAGGAGTAATCAAGAATGGGGGAATTAAACAGGAAATGGCGATAATTGGCCGACCGCTAAAATCTACCATTACAACTAATGGGAAAAAAAGGTGGTTGTTGGGTGATTAAGATGGCTAACGAGTCATGAGTGGCGTGAAGACACTCGGGCAAGAGCACCAATGGCCTCGTTTGGTCGTTAGTGGGCATAATTAGCCTCGGTGATTGTATTGCTCGAACCCCCACGATGGGGGGGAAGGGGGGGGGGGGGTTCGGGCAGTCTCTTATCAGGGGTGGTGGTGGTGGTGGGGGGTTTATCAGGGGGGGGGATGGGGGAAGTTTATAAGAGGGGTGGGGGGATATTTATAAGGGAGGGGTGAGAGGGAGTTCTCAGAAATGGTGGGGGAGTTCTCAGGAATGGTGGGGAAGTTCTCAGGAATGGTGGGGGAAGTTCTCAGGAATGGTAGATAAGTTCTCAGGAATGGTAGGGAAGTTCTCAGGAAAGGTGGGGGGAAACTTCTTAGTGGTGGACGTGAAGATGAAGGGTTATGGGGAAAATCCCCAAGGACCAGATGCAAAGTAGTAGATGGAGTTTGCTTAAATCCTAGGGAGGAAAACTTGGAAAATGGGGAACGATTAGGGGGGCTTAGGGATAGAACAGGGGGAAGGGATTGGTTATAAGAGCGACGTGGATCTGAGGGGGGAGGGGGGGGGGGGGGGGGGGAAAGATGAGGAATTGCTTTGGGGGATTAATAGGAGTAGGGATGAGTAATATCAGTGGGTGATTATTGAGGGTGAGGGAGGGAGAGAGGAGAAATTGAGGGAGGAAGGGTTAGGAAGGTAAGGGAGTGAGGGAGACTAGGGAGGGAGGAATGGTAGATAAAAAAAAAGTAACATGGAAATGGTGTGTACACACACACACACACCACGGGGGCCCTAGTAGCTGAATGGACAGCGCCCGGGATTCGTAATCCTAAGGACCGGGGATCGCCGGAAAAAAATGGGAAGAGTATCATTCATCCTGATGAACTTATTCACCTAGCAGTAAATAGGTACCTGGGAGGTAGACAGCTGCTACGGGCTGCTTCCTGGAGGTGTGTGCACCTGTGTTAGAAATATATGTAGTATACATAATGGAGGAAAAATAAATGGGTTAAAAAGGCGGGGTCCAAGAGCTAATAGCTCTTGGACCTTCCCATAGAGTCGGCTTTTCCAAAGCGGACGCTATCTTGATAACTTGTTCCACAGACCCTATTTCCATATCAATATTTATCTATCTATCGTAGAAATTCTAACCCTTTTCCCGTACGAATCCATTATATCACGATCTATCCAAAAATGATATCTTCCGCATCCTATTTATAATCCCTTTTCATTAACCCTTTTACCTATTTCCTCACCTTAGTCACGTTCCCCTCTCATTCTACGCCTTCCTGGGGAATGTAGAGTGACCTTAGGTAGTCTCCCTTCATAGGGAAGGTCATTAATGCCCAGAATGAACAGCGCGGGCATATAAATACCCAGCCTGGCCTGTCCCGGGCACACGGGAGACATCTCCCGTCACGCAGGGTGCAGTCGCACCTCCACAGATCTCCAGTACCATCCATTGATACTGGAAATGGCTCAAAAGGGCCACCACTTATGGGCTATTCATGCCCGTGCCACCTTTTGGATGGCTTAATCTTTATCCTGCTCCGAGTGTGGCAGGGGAATCTGTGTGTGTCCACCTCGTGGCGTGGTAATTAGGGACAAAGACACACACACATGGAGAAACAGGAAGATATCCTGAACAAACCCACAAGGGCCGTGACGAGGATTCAAACCTGCGTCCGAGAGCATCCCAGACGCTGCCTTATTTTCTGTAAGGAAGATATCCTATTGTTCTGTACAATATAGGCGTTCAGAAGGTCGCAGGTGTGTGTTATGTGAAGCTGTTGAAGGTTTCAGGTGTGTGTGTTATGTGATCTGTATTAATACACAGGGAGAGAGCCATTGTGGGTGACACTTCGGTTAAGTAATGGGGTATCGAACGGGTCTAGGAGCTGGGGTTAAATTTCTACGAACGCACACGAGTTCACGTGTGTGTGTGTGCGTGTATGTGTGTGTATGTGTGTGTGTGTGTGTGTGTGTGTGTGTGTGTGTGTGTGTGTGTACTCACCTATTTGTACTCACCTATTTGTGCTTGCGGGGGTTGAGCTTTGGCTCTTTGGTCCCGCCGTGTGTGTGTGTGAGTGTGTGTGTGTGTGTGTGTGTGTGTGTGTGTGTGTGTGTGTGTGTGTGTGTGTGTGTGTGTGTGTGTGTGTGTGTGTGTGCGTGCTTTCGTGCATATGTGGACACGCACAGACCAAGAAACTCACGGATAAATTGCCACTTACAAACTCCACCTCAATCTTTGCAAGATTTCGCAACCAAAATCCGCGCACAAAATAAAATCTCACGGTAGTCTGGTATGCAAAAAAAGGGGGTCAATTTCCTCACGTTGATAAAGATGGATACAAGCCACTGGGAGGCTTGGATGATGGGGACCTTGGGTGAGGCTTGAGACGGGAGATAAATGAGGATTTGTCTCAAGAAATGGCGAAGGTGATAGTTTCCATGGTATGTGTGTGTGGAGTGTGTGTGTGTGTGTGTGTGTGTGTGTGTGTGTGTGTGTGTGTGTGTGTGTGTGTGTGTGTGTGTGTGTGTGTGTGTGTGCACCCTGATCACACACACATGCACCAGTGTGACAGGGGATTCGAGTATGACACAGCAGACTTTGATTGTGACAATCAGTAACCACTCAGCAGACACCAATTGATGCACCCAAACTTATTTGACATTAAATAAAGTTTACTCATAATGAAAACAAATCGTATTCTCATAAAATGAGGAAAATATCTAGGGGTGAGACTACTGGATTTGTTGATGTTGGATAACAAATCCTTGCTTACTGTTTCATGAGACAGATAGACAGCTAGATAGACAGACGCACTGACGCAAATAGATTTTTAGAGGACCTAAATTCTAATGCTAAGCGTCTCGAACTGAAATCCATTATTTCATTTTATATTTGTTAGAAATGTATTAAAATTCCCTCCCCCCCCCCCCAGTTAAACAAAATTTTCCCAAACAAACAAAATGAAGAAATAAATTTTCTCTATCCTAAAACTTCCCATCAATAAAGTTTATCCAACAATATTTCCCCATCAATAAAATTTATCCAACAAAATTTTGCCCTTCTGAAAAATTTATGCAACGAAATTTCTCTAATAATAAAATTTATCCAAGAATTTTTTTCCAAAAATAAAATTATCCAACTAAACTTTTTTCTACCCAAAAAAAATATCCAAAAAAATCTCCCCACCAGCAAAATATATCAAATAAAACGAAAACAAAAATTGTATATCATTTGTTATCTAATTCTATTTTCTAAACGATCCGAGAGACACCGTAAGGGGGGGGGGGTGAGAGGTAGTAGGCCTATGATTAAACTGCTTACCTATCCAAAATAGGGAAATGAAAAGGGCATTCTGGGTAAACAATTGGTTTGAACATGAAGGTCCACTGTGGGAATGGGTAGTGTGGGGCTCTTGAATTGCTCTTGAACTTGAGGTACGTTAAATGTTGCCCCGAGGGGCGAGTTTATTGGGCAGCGCCACTGATCCTGTGAGTGGACACACCGCCATAGCAGCATGTACAACACTCCCCAATAGGAAGAAAACCCGCTGTGTTGTTAGTTGTTTTCCTATTGGTACGTTACTATCCTGTTGCTGCGTCATTTTCCTTTTATCCTGTCCATTTCCACATCATCCCGTCCTCACTGTCTAATCAGAGTGGACAGTACTATACGGAATCCTAAAGATCACATTCGCTTGAGATTCCTACCAGCTCCAACAGTCTTGTCAAACACAAGACCTTTGAATTCCTCCAAAATTTTGAGTGATACCGTTGTATCACTCAAAAGTGATACAACGGTTGAGTGATACACCGTTGAGTGATACATGTAACACATGTCTCGTCCTAGCAGTGATACATGTAACACATGTCTCGTCCTAGCAGTGATACATGTAATACATGTCTCGTCCTAGCAGTGATACATGTAACACATGTCTCGTCCTAGCAGTGATACATGTAACACATGTCTCGTCCTAGCAGTGATACATGTAACACATGTCTCGTCCTAGCAGTGAAACATGTAACACATGTCTCGTCCTAGCAGTGATACATGTAACACATGTCTCGTCCTAGCAGTGATACATGTAATACATGTCTCGTCCTAGCAGTGATACATGTAACACATGTCTCGTCCTAGCAGTGATACATGTAACACATGTCTCGTCCTAGCAGTGATACATGTAACACATATCTCGTCCTAGCAGTGATACATGTAACACATATCTCGTCCTAGCAATGATACATGTAACACATATCTCGTCCTAGCAATGATACATGTAACACATATCTCGTCCTAGCAGATAGCTAGGACTCTGGCAATTTATGAAGATTCAAGTAAAACTTATACTAGCACCCATGTTTCAGTGTGTTCTTCAATCCTAGCAAATCCTAGTTACTTACCTCATGGCCCTCAGCATATCCAGTCACACGAGAATAACCTGAATGAATCTCATCCACCTCTCTCTCTCTCTCTCTCTCTCTCTCTCTCTCTCTCTCTCTCTCTCTCTCTCTCTCCTCTCTCTCTCTCTCTCTCTCTCTCTCTCTCTCTCTCTCTCTCTCTCTCTCTCTCTCTCTCTCTCTCTCTTCTCGAGGTACAATGGCATCAAATGAAGCATCTAACGTCGACTTAACATACAAATGGCAGGTAAACACGAGAGAGGCAGCACAGCCATAGTCTTGGCAGGAATTTATCGCAAAGTAATGAGATGTAGAATCCCCTTTGGTCATCATCGGGCGAGTTGGGGTCTAAACCGAGTATTCCTCGAGTCTGTCTGTGTCTGTCTGTCTCTGTGTCTGCTTCTGTCTGTCTCTGACTCTGTCTGTGTCTGCTTCTTTTTCTCTCTGATTGCCTGTTAGGCGTTGGCCAGTTAGTGCTGTCACATGTTCATTCTTGGCTGGTCTGATGAACCGGTCAAGAACCTGTTTGTAAACAGTCGATACATAACCAAGTAATTAATATCTAAGGCACTGACTTGTCAGGACAGGGAAACAGTCAGTGCTGATTTGGACTGTCATTATGCGGATACGTGTAGACAGTCAGTAGACAAGAACCAAACAATTTGCTATTGGAATCATGTAAGCAAAAACAAGACCCTCACCAGCTCCAGAAATAGCCAGCCTCGAGGGCCTCAGACACACTTCAAGATGCTACTGGACTTAAGACCAACATTCACTCCAAACATCTACCACTTACGACCTGGTAAATGGCCGTAAGTGGAAGATGTTTGGAGTGAATTGCCAGGCAGGTAAATGCCCCAACACAAGAGGTTGTGACACCTCTTGTGTTGGCTTAATTTTCATCAATCAATCAATCAATCAATCAATCAATCAATCAATCAATCAATCAATCAATCAATCAATGACAGTCTCGAGTACGAGGCAACAGATCCATCCAATCTCCAGTCAGAATTGAGAAGCTCAGCATTTACCAGTTATTTATCTTGAGGTTATCTTGAGATGATTTTGGGGCTTTAGTGTCCCCGCGGCCCGGTCCTCGACCAGGCCTCCACCCCCAGGAAGCAGCCCGTGACAGCTGACTAACACCCAGGTACCTATTTTACTTCTAGGTAACAGGGGCATAGGATGAAAGAAACTCTGCCCATTGTTTCTCGCCGGCGCCCGGGATCGAACCCGGGACCACAGGATCACAAGTCCAGTGTGCTGTCCGCTCGGCCAACCGGCTCCCAAACCTGTCGTTTGAAGGGTAGAACCTAAAGCCAGAAACATTCAACAAATTCAGTTACCAGTTTTTCAGTTTCCAGTTACCAGTTGGCTTTTAAGTAGTCAGTAACAACACCACCACCACCAGCGGGGCTGTGAGAGAGACTCCAACCTTAGTTAACATTTTTAAGTTGATTTTATGTTCGTTAAACATGGCCAGAAAAGGTTAAAATGTATGCAACAAGGCCCGTCCCGGAGCTGAGGGGCCTGAGCTACAAGGAAAGATTGAAGGATTCATCAAGTATTTAGGGAACTATTTACGAAACCTGTACATCTTTCCTGAATCATAGCAGCTTTCTTTTCATTTATATTAAACAATTTACTACCTTCAAACGTCCCAATATAAAACGAAAAAAAAAAATAGTTGAGGTAAGATGAAGATGTTCCGTAAGTGGTTGCAAAAGTACTTCATGAATCAAGAACCTCAACCCGCACAGGAGGAGAAAAAAATAATGGAGGACATGTTAGAGACATACAAGATTCCAAGGGAATTGACAAAGCAGACAATTATTGTTTCACTTTAGGAACACCAGAGCGACGGGTCACAGGGAGAACCTATAAAAACACAAATTTTAAATTTAATTAAAATTTGAAAATTTTTGAATGAAAACTTTAGAAAAACATTCTTAAACTAAGAATGCTCAGGAGGAAGGGACTTGGAGTCGCAGCTTGACCCTGCAAGCACATCTGGCTGAGTACACATACAAGGACATGTGACTAAGTACACATACTACATTTCAAATGTAGATATGATAGAGCCCAGTAGGCTCAGGAATCTGTACACCATTTGATTGACAGTTGAGAGGCGGGACCAAAGAGCCAAAGTTCAACCCCCGCAAGTGCAACTAGGTGAGAACATACACCTATACACTCAAAAATGAAATCAGAAAAATATTATCCATAAAATACAGCATCCACAAACATGTGCACAAAAGCTTAAACACCTGAAAGGAACATAAATGCCAACACTCATATCCACAAATAAAAAAATTGAAACGAAAACAAACGCAACATAAACATACAAAGACACACACACACACACACACATACACACACACACACACACACACACACACACACACACACACACACACACACACACACACACACGCAGCCGAGTGGACAGTATTCTGGGGGTCGAAGTCCTAAGGGCCCGGGTTCGATTCCCAGTCGAGGCTGAAACAAATGGGCAGGCTTAATTTCACCTGATGCACCTATTTACCAAGCAGTAAATAGGTACAAGGGAGCTAGACAGCTGCTTCGGGATGTTTCGTGGGAATGTGTGTGTGTGTGTGAGAAAGAGAAATATATGTAAAAGTTATGACAGAAGAAAAATAGGTTGGTAGTCATTACATTAGAGAACCAACGGTTAGAGAGTAGGCGTCCAAGAGCTAAAACCTCGATCCTGTTTGCACAAATAGTAAACACACACACACACACACTCCCTACTATGCATGACCATTAACAATCAAATAATCCCTCACCAAACAATACACACACATAATTCTCCCTTCACCAACACGCAGGGCCTACCAAATATACAAATAAAGGGGGAATTAAAGCATGTTTGTTTTTCGACATGCACAGTAAAAGGCCTTCGTCATAATTACACACTATTGGTCTGCCGCCTATTTTCACATTTTCTATTATGCTGCATAATATATGCAAGTGATATATATATATATGGGGAAAAGTCACAGATTTAAGTACTGAAAAGACACTCCGGATATTTCGGTCTCCAAGCTGAGACCCTCTGCAAAGTAGTGCATATTTATTTAACAAAATGTCTGAGGGAGGCCAGATGATTAGGGGAAGAGTCTCACCCAATTTTTCAAGGTAATTGCTATTGGATACGTGCTCAACATAGACGGGTTGTGGTTGTCATTATTGAATTGAGAAAATCAATTGGAGGTCCTAGGTGACTCGAACTCATGACCAACGGACTGCTAGCCGCCACTTCTACCACACTACCACCCTAACCTGATGTAAGTTATACAATCTGGGATTCTACTGAATCGGCAATATGTCTGAAGCTATTCCAAACGGTTTTGGAATAAAATGGAATCACCTTAAACTTCCTATCGATTTTCTAATTAATATTGATCACTTTAGTATGATTTCACTGTGTAATTGACATGCGTGTAACTTGACACAATACTAAAGCTATCTCTCCAAGTCTCATTATATGCATTCTAGGTTGAATCTCATTTTTGTTCCTTGCTATATCGTAAAACATTATGCACTGATCACGCCAAAATTAAAAAAAAATCCAACCATAATACTTAAACTTTAAAAACCTGATATACCCAGTCTATCGCTAATCGCCAATAGTCATTGTAGGGTGCTGATGGAGCGGTATTTGTTAATGGTTGTATGGGAGACCTGAATAAATCCTATCTTGAGGTAACCTTGAGATGATTTCGGGGCTTATCGTCCCCGCGGCCCGGTCCTCGACCAGACCTCCTTATTTGTTACACACCCTCCAGGAAGCAACCCGTAGCAGCTGTCTAACTCCCAGGTACCTATTTACTGCTAGATAAACAGGGACATCTGGGTGAAAAAAAAACTCTGCAGATCTGTTTCCGCCTCCACCGCGGATCGAACCCGGAACCTTAGGATTACGAATCCTAAGCGCTGTCCACTCAGCTGTTAAGCCCCTGACGCCATGCCCAAAATGTTAAACACCTGCGTAATGTAGTTTCGTATTTTAAGTTAATGATGCCAATCTTGAGATGATTTCGAAGCTTTTAGTGTCCCCGCGGCCCGGTCCTCGACCAGGCCTCCACCCCCAGGAAGCAGCCCGTGACAGCTGACTAACACCCAGGTACCTATTTTACTGCTAGGTAACAGGGGCATAGGGTGAAAGAAACTCTGCCCATTGTTTCTCGCCGGTGTCTGGGATCGAACCCAGGACCACAGGATTATAAGTGCAGCGTGCTGTCCGCTCGGCCGACCGGCTCCAACCCTATAATGTTATCCAGTAATGTGTTTCAAAACCAATATTTATACTGTTCTTTCCAGACTCTAAACTTATCCAATTTTTATCCATGGTTTTGCGTTTAAATATATAACCCCGAATTATTATCCCCCTTTGTTATGCCCTGAAGTACATTGTATATTTGGACAATGTACAATGAGAGTTCATAATCTCTCTTCATATGAGTGAGTTTGGGTGAATATAAATATAAACCGCTTCGTATGGGACAATAGACCTTACAAGCCTGCTATAGCATTTTCCGAGAGAGAGAGAGAGAGAGAGAGAGAGAGAGAGAGAGAGAGAGAGAGAGAGAGAGAGAGAGAGAGAGAGAGAGAGAGAGAGAGAGAGAGAGAGAGAAATACAACATCTCATTTGAATTAATGACTAAATCTATTCCAGTCTATAAACATTGAAAATAACCAAAATACAAATACATTTAATACAATAATAAAATTGTATTTAATAATAAAATATCGCCCCATTACTATTAATAATGATAATAATACTAATAAGAGGAAGAAAAATATACAAAAGAATAAAGATGATAAACTGCAAAAAAACATGTTTTCATTCTCTCTTAATTCTATAATCGACAGACGAGGCTGACCTATCAGATGACCGCAAGGGACACGCTGATTGGTCTGTTATTCCTGATGACTCCAGCTGTGACGATCAGGTAACGACCGGAAGGCACCTGATCACCTGAAGATAGAATTTTGTAATCAGGTTTGTTCGTGGTGGGGATTGCTGATTGGATCTTCACCAGCGGTAGGAGAATTATAGGCCCAAATTGCCGAGAATTGGTGGATTTGGTTGGTGGGGGGAGGTGACAATTTCGGTTGATTGGGATGATTAAATGGGATTGGCTGATACTTGGATATGTTAATTCTGGATGCTTGCGAGATGAATTGATCGATTGGTGATCAGTTACGACTGAGAAAAGTCGTATGGCGATTGGGTAGTTGATCATTGGTTGATAATCGATTGGTTGTTGGTTAGTGATGTTGGTGGATCTCGCTCTCTGGTTGGCTTACAGCCGCTAGCGCTAGTTATATCGTCAATATAACTGAAGGGAAGAGTCAATAGCATCAATACCATGACCAATAGCCACGTTTCGAGGTCATTAATCTCGCGGTAAATAAATGATCCACACATGTTCACTTGGGAAGTAATGAACTAATAATAATTTGTCACCTGTGCTTCACCTAGTTGCCTGCTACCATTTTTCACCCCCTTTTCAATTCTTAGTTCTAAATTCTAAAAGTCTATGTCTATGGTCTACGAGATGGCGCGATGGGTAAGCAGGTGGAGTTTCTATCCTTATCCAACTCGTTTGTGGATTATTGTTTACGTCAGTTTGGCAAATCAAAAGAGAGTTAATCCCTCGTTAATGAAGTTAATGAAGGCTAAAATGACCAACGAACAGCCAAATGTGTTGATGGGATACTGACATCAGCTCGACTCCGCCCACTGGTACCAGCGATCTCCCCGTTGGTGGAGAAGTCGCGTCGGGGGGCGGAGTCACGCTTTTACCGCTGGGGGTGATTGGTTGTCCGTGGGAGGTGGGCGGGGCAGGAAGGATTTGTGGGTGGAGTAGGGAGGCGGCCATCACAGTCCGCCAGACAGCGGCGTGGACCAAGGGAGTCAGTCAGTCGTGCGCGAGCGTAGTGTCGATAACGTTGTGTGTGCTAGACGCTGTGGACTTAACCCCTCCATCTACGGCTCATTTTTTGACGTTGTAAGTGGTCGAGATGACGGTGGAAGTGTGCACGCGTGTCGGTGTGCGTGTGTCGGCCGCCCCGAAGGACGAATCGCAAGCTGGAGGCGGAAATTCTCCAAGCCACGAGACCTCGGAGGCACCCACGCCAAGACCCAAATTCATGATTACAGACATACTTGCCCAACACAAACCTCCGCCGCCCGTCTCCACCCACACCCAAGCCGCAGCACCGCCCACGCCGCCCATACAAGAACCCAAAGACTTGAGCCTCACACGCTCACACTCCGAGGACGACGACATCGATCTCGAGGGCGACGCCAGCCACGACGAGGAAGACCCAGACACGAACGACACAGGTGAGTCGTCGCCCACAGGTGCTTTCCCAGACAGGTGTGGGGGGACACACCTGTCTTCCACCCACCTGGGGGGGGGGGAAAGGCGGGTGGTTTAATAATATGCTTCCCTGAACATAAACGCCAAAAAAGAAAAAGAGTTTTAAAATCATATTCAGGCCGTTCTTACCTCAAGTTATTTCTCGAGTCATATTATCCAGTCGTTGGTGACCCTTAAGAATTAGCCAACGGATCCTTAAGCGAATTAGTTCCCATACAGACATCTCATCTTAATGTTTATGTAAATATTACTAGAGAGGAACATGTGTTTACAATGATATTGCGTATGCGTATACGTAGAGCAAATATACAGCCACATCAGGTGGTGTATATCGTAGCGTATGGATAAGTGTAAATCGCAGCTATCAAAGGCTACGCAGTACACTATTATCCATTAGATCACTCCTAATTGATTATACACCTTCGGGGAATTATGCATACACTATAGGAGGCCTGCTCTAGGACTGAGCCACGGGGATATTGAGCCCCGAAATCACCGCAAGGTAGGGCTGTCTCAGGTGACTATAGATGTCAAGTCCTGTTTTTTTCCCCCGTGTTCCTTTTAAGCAGCAAGGTGTCGAGGAGCTCCGGTTATAGCGACCTCTTCAACAGGTAAGTCTGGAAGAGTCTGGACTAAGATGTTGCATTTTGCCGTTGCATTTCCGCTCTATCTGTCCGAATATTCGGGCAAATTTAAGGATTTTCATCTGTCACAATATTGGCACTGAATCGCAGTCTTCATCTGTCCCAATATTAGGACTTCGCTCTTTGCTTATCACTCAGCGTTAATGTTAATATTTTTAACCTCACATTTGCGTTTACATATTTTCATAAATATATAAAAAGCGAACAAGTTTTGCATAATTAGTGTGCCGCACATACTTAAATCGTCTGTTTAAGGCTTTGTCTAACTCGCCTCATATATCTATAATCTACTTATACAGCTATAATCTTCCATAGAAAGTCATTTTACATTCTTTCTTGGCATTGGGCGAGATGCAAATTACAAATGCATGCAGGTTATCATCTTGATAACTCGAAGAGTAACTATGTACTGGTGTGGGCGAATGGTTTTAATATCTGGTCATGAGTACAGGTTGGTTATCGCGGAACTGAACTCCGGTTAGGATAATATGATTCCTTCGGTATTATCTACCTCTGAAGAGATTTTGCGGTTTAATTTTTTTAAGTTTGTTACATCTTATTAAAAGATGAAAAAAGGGTTAAGATGCATTTTAACAATTGTCTAACTTGGATTTAAATTTCACTAGATAATGAACTGGTGATGGTGTTTTTAAATTAAAGACTCATACACACACACACACACACACACACACACACACACACACACACACACACACACACACACACACACACACACCAGTGAGATATGCACACAAAACTCAACATCATAAATGATACCCACTGGAGATGGAGCAGTTTATTAGTTTGACAGCAGGAAGTAGGGAGGCTCCGAGCACAACCACTACCACCAGCCATCAACGCAGCTTCCCTCTCTCTCTCTCTCCCCAGCGGTTCCCGGGGCTCTTGCCCGGCTAATAACAACACTGGGAGAAATAACCCAGCCGTAACAGAATCGATAATTTCAAATCCCCGTTCAGGAAGTCGATTCATTTATCCTTTGTTAAAAATTGTCGGTTCTAAGGCCTCCCTTGTCTTCACTCGGTCAATAGATCTACTATTGGTATTATTTTGTGGTTTTATTCGGTGGATGTGATCCAGGCAACCTTCGTTAATGCTTTATGATTATTAAAGCAAAATTTGCATTCATGCAACATCGCCATGGACACTTTCGTTTAGACAATCTGAGCGCTCAAGTGAAAAACGACGCTGTTCAGAATCTAAGCGCTGATCGATTTCGTTACTTACAATATGTATTGCTTGCTTAGCAGGCGAATTGGAACATTTACCGAGTACGAATTGCTATCTAGCTTCCCATGATGGTTGAGTGGTTACCTACAACCACTCAACTCTCAGGAGCTGCGTTCACTTCTTCGGCGCTAGCAAACTGCTTTAAGTACTTTTCCAGCCGAAAAAGAGCGTTCACATAGCGCGAAGAGTATAATAAAACGCATTTGCATTTAGTTTACATTATATATATATATATATATATATATATATATATATATATATATATATATATATATATATATATATATGTCGTACCTAATAGCCAGAACGCACTTCTCAGCCTACTATGCAAGGCCCGATTTGCCTAATAAGCCAAGTTTTCATGAATTAATTGTTTTTCGACTACCTAACCTAACCTAACCTAACTTTTTCGGCTACCTAACCTAACCTAACCAATAAAGATAGGTTAGGTTAGGTTAGGTAGGGTTGGTTAGGTTCGGTCATATATACACGTTAATTTTAACTCAAATAAAAAAAAATTGACCTCATACATAATGAAATGGGTAGCTTTATCATTTCATAAGAAAAAAAA